GGATCCCTAAAGCATAGACTGCTGCTAGCTGAATACCATCTCGGAGCACAAAAGGTGACTTCTTTTTTTTTTGCAAATATCCTATCTCTGTTCGAAAAGGGTGACTTAAGGATGCCCTCAGTAAGGATTTGGAAAATTTGATCTTTACAAGAGATGCTTGGATCATTTAAAATTTCCAGGAGCTTAAAGAGCACTGAAATAATTGCCTTTGGACAGTCCATAAATATGCATTTAAGACAGTGAGGATATGGATAACTATTTTAACATGGCTCAGTGAAAAAATTGAACCAGGGTATTTTACATATCCATCACCCCATACGTTTATCATTTCTTCATGGTGAGGAAATTCAAAATCCTCTCTTCTAGTTATTTTGAAATATGCAACATTATTAACCATTGTCACCAGAATTTACTCCTCCTAGCTAATTGCAACTTTGAACCCATTGACCACCCTCTCCCTACCCCACCTCCTCTCTCTCCTCTCCAGCTTCTAGTAACCATTAGTCTCCCTCAGTCCATGAAATCAACTTCTTTAGATGCCACATGAGTGAGATCATGAAATTATCTTTCTGTACCTTGCTTATTTCACTTAGTATAATGTCCTCCAGTTCATTTATGTTGCCATTATTCACAATTTTACTACTGGGTATGTATCCAGAGACACCTGCACTTTCACGCTTATTGCAGCACTGTTCACAACTGCCAAGATATGGAATCATCCTGTCTATCAACGGATGAATGGATAAAGAAAATGAGTTTATTTTATACGTTATATAAAGTTAAATACTATTGAGCCATTAAAAAAAAAGAGAGAACAAAATCCTGTCATTTGCAACAACATGGATAAACCTGGAGGGCAGACTTTATTGCTTGGCTTTCTGTCTTCCCATGAGGTTAGCAAGAAAAGTGGGAGGAGGACTAGGTCAAGGGTGTGTTAGCAATGTCTACATCCCTCTATCAGACAAACGCTCTCCTACAGCTGTAGCTTTTTTTTTTTGTTTTGTGAGATAGAGTCTTACTTAGTCAGTAGAGTGCTGTGGCATCATAGCTCACAGCAACCTCAAACTCTTAGGCTCAAGAGATCCTCTTGCCTCAGCCTCCCAAATAGCTGGGACTAAAGCAACTGCCATGATGCCCTGCTATTTTTAAGAGATGAGGTCTTGCTCTTGCTCAGGCTGGTCTCAAACTCCTGAGCTCAAGCAAGCCACCCACCTCAGCCTCCTGGAGTGCTGGGATTACAGGTGTGAGCCACTGCACCCAGTCAACTGTAGCTCTTTCCTTTTCCTATATACACTGTCCATTCTCTTGCCTGGTCATGCCTAGGAATAGTAATGGTTTCCTCCTATCGCTAATCCCAAGGTATAGAAGCATCCATACTCGTTTTCATTTGTGATTTTAACTTATTGTTAAACGTCAACAAGTAATTCACTTTTTTTTTTTTTTTTTTTGAGACAGAGCCTCAAGCTGTCCCCCTGGGTAGAGTGCCGTGGTATGACAGCTAATAGCAACCTCCAACTCCTGGGCTCAAGCGAGTCTCTTGCCTCCGCCTCCCAAGTAGCTGAGACCACAGGCGCCTGCCACAACGCCCAGCTGTTTTTTTGGTTGCAGCCGTCATTGTTGTTTGGCGGGTCCGGGCTGAGGATTCGAACCCGCCACCTTAGGTGTATGTGGCTGGCGCCTTAGCCGGTTGGGCTATAGGCGCCAAGCCAAGTAATTCACTTTTGACATGTTATTACCAAATTTATAAGAATCACATGCTTGCTTGCATTCCTGTGCGTATTCTCTATGAGGGGAGAGAAAGGATCGCAGATCTTCCACTTGCCTCCTACCTTCCCAGTCAATGATCAATGAAAAATGGTACTTCATTATTTATTTGGATTTACATTGTAAGTGATATTGAATATTTGTTCAAATGCTTATAATTGATTTGCACTTCTTTTTCTGCCTCATAGGAAGCTACAAAATATTGAAAGCTGGAAAGTAGATGGATCAAGTGGCAATTACCTTAGCAGACTTGAGAAACAGGAATCCTAAGCAGGCCACAAAGCAACCCAATTTATATACGAGACCCTCCATGTGGCTCAGGAATTGGAAGCACCAGGTCATGCTGAAAAGAAAGCATGATGTGGGCTAAAAATAGGAATAATGGTACTCTGTTTAAGAATCATCCCAGGGTGGCACCTAAGGCTCAAAGGAGCAGGGCCCCGGCCCTACTCAAACCTGCCCCCGCCAAAAACTGCGGAAAAAAAAAAAGAATCATCCCAGCAGGCTAGGCACCTATAGCTTAGCAGCTAGGGCGCCAGCCACATACACTGGAGCTGGCGAGTTCGAATAGAGCCTGGGCCTGCCAAACAACAACTACAACCCAAAATTAGCCGGATGTATGGCAAGCACCTGTAGTCCCAGCTACTTGGGAGGCAGAGGCAAGAGAATCACTAAGCCCAGGAGTTTGAGGTTGCTATGAGCTGTGACGCCACAGCACTCTACCCAGGGCAACACAGTGAGACTCTGTCTCAAAAAAAGAAAAAAAGAATCATCCTAGCAGAAGCCCAAAGATTTAGTCTTTGGCAGATTCTCTAGCTAAGAGGACACCAGATCCACTTAGAGATGAAGATCTCATGTTGAAAAAGAGAAAAGTAGAAAAATAGAGGACTATCAGAATAACTGGAGCTCACAAAAGGAAAACCAGGGAGGAAATAATCCAATAACTTAAGATGCCTAGAGTTATCACTCCAAGTGCAGTACTATTTATAATGGTTTAAATTTACTGGTATATTTGATTCATATTAACTGTAACATGGCATTTTTTTCTAAACTATCACAAATGGTAATATCACTTTGTTCTGGTGGTTAAACAGTGGGGCTTACATTACCCACCCAAGCAATTATACCAAAGTGATTGGCAGAATTAAAGTATTATGGTTAAAAAATAAAGAAACAAAAAGAATTATTATTTATTCATAGATGCTATCAATGACATGCTTGTAGAGTTCAACAATCATACTTTAAGTTGTCAATATATAAAGTAACTGACTAAAGCTCTAACTGCATAAGGCTCCAAGGCAGGGAATCCCCTCATAAGGAGTAAATAAACAGATACAAAACAACTGTAGAGTGTGTGTGACTTAATAAAAGGAAAAAAAAAACAATTGTAGAAGCAAAAAATAAATTTCTGAGTTACATCTGTGGAGTCTGGGGTAGTCTCAATATCACACCCTGGCAGAAATACAAACTCTAAAAAGCTTCTATTCTGTTTTTAGTCTAAGCCAGCCTGGCTGTGGAATAAGTAAACTCACAGGTAGTGAGTCTTAACAGCAGGCTTTCAGAAACAGCAATCGTCTAGGCAATAACTTACTGCTTCACAACGTCCCAAACCAATTAAATCAGAATCTAAGTAGTGCCTGGGTATCAGTAATTTTAAGTTTTCCAGGTGTTTCAACCCCAAGTGATTCATGTAGAGTTGAGCATCATTGCACTAGCCAAGACATCCTTCAAATTAGGTTTTTTTTTTTTTTTTTTTTTTTTAGGGCAGGAAAGGGTGTTTTTTGAGGGACTGAATGAATGGCAAAGGCTACACCAATTTTTTTTTTTTTTTTTTTTTTTTTTTAGGGCAGTGGTTCTCAACATTCCTAATTACCGCGTTGTTACAAATGGAAAATAGGGGTCGCGACCCAGGGGTTGAGAACCGCTGGTTTAGGGGGTAGGAGAGAGAGAGGGTCTTGTTCCGTTACCTGGGCTAGAGTGCAGTGGCATCACTTCATCATAGCTCACTGCAACGGGAAACTCCTAGGCTCCAGCAGCTCTACAATCTCGGCCTTCCTAGTAACCAGGACTACTGACGTGCACCACAACGTCCAGCTAATTTTTCCATTTTTGTAGAGATGGGGTTCTTGCTATGTTGCTCAGGCTGGTCTTGAATTCCTGGCCTCAAGCAATCTTCCCGCTCAGGCCTCCTAAAGTACCAGGATTAGAGGCATGAGACACTGCATCCAGCTACAAGTTAGTGTGTTTTATGTAGAAATAACCAACAAGCAGAAAATCAGCTGGTAAAAGGATGTCCATTTTCTCCTTTCCTTTAGTGTTCCCAGAGCTTTCTTCCTCCTGTTCCCATCTACTCTTGTTCTTAAACACTCCCTTCATTTTTATAATATTTTTAGAAAGTTCCTGGCACAGTATTTCAGACAGTTAAAACACTGTATATCAACAAAGGACCCACAGATACTGTGTTAAGAAGATATGTAGTAAATAAATGACAGGAAAAATGAGTATAATCATCCAGTTGGGGGCGTGGGAGGAATGGATAATAAAACAAATAAGAGAACGCAAAAAACAAAATAGAAATTTTTGTTTGGATTACCATTCCGGCTGCTGCAGACTTGGAGGTTTAAATACGACACCAAAAGGCGGAAGAGCGGTTGAGCAGTGGAATGGCCAATGGAGGGTGATTTCCCTCTGAAACCTGACGCCTCAGGTTGTATGGTTATTTTAGGTTACAACTGAGAGATTCGGAGAAAAGAACATTGAGCCTTCATCTCCAGTCTGTCCACGATGGCTTTGTGACTCCAAGTAAATCTGCCTGGACCAGATATTCCTAATAGCTAAAAGGAGGAGTGTGGGCTAGTGACCCTAACCTCTCGCTCTCCAACTTTGATTTTGTAAACACGGGATCAACAAGAAAAGGCGGTAGAGTAACCAGAAGCAGGTGCCGGAGCGGAGTCATCCTCCTCCAGCCACGCCGCTTCCTTAGCCCGGGGGATGGGTCTGCACGAAGCGCGGCCTTCTAAACGCCTCTTCCTCCCTCGTCCAGGACCTCAGGGCCCCGCCTCATCCACCTCCCCTGAGCGCCTTCCACGCACCCCGGATCCTAGCCGGGACCTAGCAGACCAGTTATTCCTCTCTAGACCACAACATAATGCTGGGGACCCCGGGCCCTACGAGCAGCGCCGACTGCGGAATCGACTCTCTCGACGATCTCCGCGCCCTGGACCCGCCCCCTCCGCCTGGCGCCAGGCCGCGGAGCGCCGATTAGCTCGATGAGCGGGGGCGCAGCTGCGGTGCTGCGACCGACGCGGGGTCCGCGGCCTCTGTCTCCCCCTCCCAGCCTTTCCCCCCGGCCTCCGGCTCTTTCCCCCGCCCGTCTGGCACCGTCCGCCCGGGAGAGCTGCCGGGAGTTCCCCTGAGCCACAGGTACCGGCGCCGGCCTGTTCTCAGCGGGAGGGGCTGGTGTGAGGAGGAAGGAAACGACGCCCCTGCCTTACCGCCCCCAACGCCCGAGTCGGGCTGGGCGTGCGGCCTCGGGGGTCCGGGGACGGGTTCCGAGTGGGAGAAGGCTGCGGCCCGGGGTGTAGTGAGGAAGGAAGACAAGGACTGGGGGCGGTGCGGCTGGGGGGCGGTTAAGAGGGAGAATTGGAATTGAGGGGTGCTCTGGGGTGATGGGAACAGTGCTATGGCTGGGGAAGATTGGAGAGAGAGCGGCAACCCGGAGTGGGAGGGGGTACTTTGGAGAAGGAAGGGCCAGAGTTAGGAGCAGATGCCGGGGATGTGGCCTGATGCGACAGATGGGGTGTAGGGGTGAACCGAGCTGCCTGCTGGATGGGACGAAATTGTTTTATTTAAAGAATCGCGAGAAAGTGCGCCACCCCTGCTGTGATTATAGTGACCTGAAGGTGGGGGTGAATCTTAACACTTGACAGGTTTTGTGAATATGTCCAGTCTGTATCCATCCAAGTCACTTTATTTTTTGTGAAACTGCACCAAATACGAGTGCTGAACAGAAATGAGGAAGAAGAGTCAGAAAGGGAGGGGAGGCTGGGAAAAGGAAAGCCTCTGCTCAGATGCAAAGCCATTGAGTTGAAATGCACTACTTCCAGAAATGCATACCTGAAATGTTAAGTGTACGATGAAGTATACAGTAATGTGACAATTTTTAAGTGAACTGTGTAGTGGTAGTCTATCTTCAGTGTGGAAAAACATCATGATGGCTTTCTTATTTACTTAACATATTTAGACACAAGCACCTTAATGCATATGTTATTTTTAGGAGGAGAAATCTTAGGCAGAATATATTGATCTCTACTTTTCTGAACGTGATTTATTTCTATTAGTTGTTTGGTACAGATATCATCAGTTGCTAATAAATAATTAGTTGCAAATAACGTCAAAGTTCGTTAAGGTAAATAATTAACCTACCTGCTGCTTTAGGGGTTTTCTGTTTGTCCAACATAGATTTCTTGGCCTTGGTGAGGCTGATCCTTGGGTAATGGGACCTGAATAAGAGGTTTGCTCATTAAGATTGTAGCTTTACTGTAAATCTTAAAGGTGTTATGTAAGTCTGCCTGTCGTTTGCTTTGAGATGTTGAGGCAGTCCCTAGTAGTGTTCAGACTATGACTAAAATAAAAATAAAATCAAAAGAAAAGCTGGAGTTCTTCAGTTACTTTGTCGCCTGCTTTATCATGCATTCTGTAACATTTCTGCATGAATGAATTATTCTGAAATCAATGAGGGATGAAATGAGCCAGATGTACGTGACAGAAAGATTGCAGAATGAAGAACTCTAGAGCTTAAACTCAGGCAGTCAAGAGTTTGTTTTGTTGAGAGCTTAAGTTTCTGGTTCAGAAGCATTTCTTATCAAAGTTTGTTGATTTGTCTGACAGAATGCTAACTTAAAATATTTTTATTTGATTTACGAAACAAGACTCTGAGTTTGTTATTCTTCTTTTGGTGTCTAACATTAACCAATAAGCTGATGCCTAACTGTATATAACTTAAATATCTTACAAGTGTTTCTTTTTGTGGAAGAGGAAAGAGGGCTACCAAGTTATTACAGAGCAGTGCTATCTTTCTAGAACAGAATTGTATAAACCCAATGGACAACTAATTGAATAACTAATGAAAACTGACAATGCATAGCCATTGACTAATTTAGGCCTATGTCTCTGCTGTTTCTGTGAAGGAAGTGACTAACATTATTAGTTACTTTATTAAGCCTTAGTTTTGTCTCAGTACCTTCATGCCTATTTCAAAGAAGTATAGTAGAGAGAAAAAGAAAATGCATGTATGTCACTGAGCCAGTGTGCAGTACATAGTAGAACATTCAGTACGCCGTAGCTGTTCTGAATTGCTGGGTATTTACTATCTAGGCCAAAATACTGAAGGTCCATTATTTGTTTAGGACAGTTTTTCTCAAGAAATTTTTGCATATGATACATACTGAAGCATTTTACTGGAAAGTCACAATGCATATTAGCATATAAAAGTCTGTAAGACATTTGGTAGCAAAAAACAAAAACAAGCTGGCTTTATTTAACCTAACTGTTTTGGTATAGGAAAAAGAAACTCAGTTTCTTCTATTCTTTCTCAACATGGACTACTTCAGTGACATCAAAATGTATAGGTATCTTTCCCCACAAGCTGCTAGGCAATTCAGCAGATTCTCTGTCAGACACCATCAGCTAGATGTCCTCTAATTCAATTAAATTCTGACACTATATACCTGGAGATAGCATCAGATCCCTCAGGTTGAGGACTCAGTCCCATAAGACTGCCCCCAACTTCAGATGCCAGTCACAAGTCCCATGTTGTTTTCTGTGCTTCTGACTGACCAGCTATAAACTGGGGTTTCCACAACCCACTCCTTGTGTTCACCTGATTTGCTAGAGTGGCTCCCAGAACTCAGGGAAATACCTTACAACTGAACAGCCAAATGGAAGAGATGCATAGTAGCAAGGTGTGGACAAAGTGGTGAAGAACGTCAGTACCCTCACCAGATGTCCTATCCTTCAAAGCGCTCTAAACCCTGTTTTGGGGGGGTTTGTGGAGGCTTAAGTAGTAGGCATGGTTGCTAACATAATTGGCCATTGGAAATCAAACTTTAGCCCTTCTCCCCTCCTAGGAGGGTGGGACTGAAAAGTCCCAGCCCTCTAATCATGCCTTAATCTTACTGGTGACCACCCCACATCCTGAAGCTACCTAGGGGCTACCACCCACCGGTCATCTTGTACGTATACATAACTCTAGACCTAGCACCCTAGGGAGGTTCCTAGGGTCATAGGAGCTATATGTGGAGAAACAGGGACAAAGACCAAACGTCTATATCTCATTATAAGTCATGATACCACACATTGTAATTTGACCATCTCAACTCTGTGCAGAAGCCTAGAAATCACTACTTGACAGGGCAGGAAACTGAATCCATTGCATAAGCAACTAAAGAGAGCTGGAAGCATCCTGTCTTCTGACTGCAAGTTAAAATTGTAAAACATTTAATGTCTCTTTTTTAAACTTATTTTAGAATATTATAGGGGTACATACGTTTTGGTTATATAATTTGCTTTTGTACATTTTAAGTCTAAGTTGTAGGTGTGCCCTTCACTCAAATAGTGTGCATTGTACTTGTTAGGTGCAAATTTATCCATCCCCTCCCACCTACATGATTGCCGTTGAGTTTTGCTTCCATATGTGCACAGAAGCTTTGATCAGTTCGTTCTAATTTAGTATTGTGTACACATGGTGATTGTTTTGCCATTCTTGGGATACTTTACTTAGAAGGAAAGTCTCCAGTTATATTTGGGTTGTTACAAAAGATACTAGATCTCCAATTTTTTTTCATGGTGGAGTAGTACTTCATGGTATACACATACCATTAATGTGTTGTTTTCAAAGGACCACCTTCTATTTTTGCCCTCTATGATTATGTACCTTTTTATTTTATAAAATACCTTAAGTCAGGGCGGCGCCCGTAGCTCAGTGGTAGGGTACCAGCCACATACACTGAGGCTGGTGGGTTTGATTCTGGCCCAGGCCAGCTAAAACAACAATGATAAGTGCAACAACAAAAAAAAAAATAGCTGGGCCTTGTGGTGGGTGCCTGTAGTCCCAGCTACGTATGGGGGCTGAGGCAAGAGAATCACTTAAGCCCAAGAGTTTGAGGTTGCTGTGAGCTGTGACTCTACGGCACTCTACCCGGGGTAACAGCATGAGACTCTGTCTTAAATTAAAAACAAACCTTAAGTCGCTCATTTTCTATGCATGTTCTAGAAAGTTACAATCATTTTTCATAGTTTTATATTTCCTGTGTGTTGAGGCCTACCATAGAGGTCCTAGTCACTGAAGTGGAGCAAGTGAAAGGGAAATAGTTGAAGTCAGGAAAGAGAGGAAAGCACTCTCACACAAGTTTGAGGTGGATCATTAGTTTAAGACCTCATTCCAGTAAAGTGCTACATACCTCTTTGCTGAATAGCACTACGGTCACTTTCAAAATACTCCCCTTGGCTGTCTGGTGACTGTACAGGGCCTTGTAACTGTTTTAAGTACTTTAGCTTATACCCAAAAGTCTCAAATCTGATGACATTTAATTTCTCTTTAAGGTGCTGAATACTTATTTTGCTGGGAAGCAGAAAAATACTTGGGGAGTAAAATATGCCCCCCAAGTTCAAGCGCCACTTAAATGATGATGATGTCACTGGTTCTGTGAAAAGTGAAAGAGTAAGTTCAGAATCTTAAGCTTTCAAGAAGAAAGACTCCAAATATGTTTTCATATCTTTGTAAATGATAGAAAAAATGTGAAATTTATGACTGCGTTATCCTGCTTGTTTTCTTCATATGTTTATATCAAAAAGTATATGTTACTCAGATTGGTGACTCAATTGAATTCTATTCAAACAGCTTCTTTCTGGTTTTTCAAAAGGAATATTATACAAATACATAATATCTTATTAAGAACTCTGAAGCCAAATGTATTTGGAATTCAGAATTTTTCAGGTTTTAGGAAGATAGTTAACAGCATATTATGTAACAGCCTTTATGAGGCTAGACCTGTATTTCCAAATTTATTTCCTCAGTGAAATATATGATTAACTAAATATATAAGCAAACAATGAATTAATATCAATTCAGGTCATTTTTTGTTTTATACATTTTTAAGCTATATCATTTGGTGTATAAACATTCTTTGCTGTTAAATCTTTTTGGTGGATTGTACAGTTTATCACTGTACAATCCCCTTATTTGATTATTTAATTCTTTGTCCTAAAATTCCTCTTTATGTTGCTAACTATTAACAACATAAAAGAATTTACCTTAGAATTCTTTTTGTCAGAATTTACTTATGTACCTTTTTCATCCCCTTCTTCCCACCCTTTATTTAACATTTGTTTTAGGTGAATTTCTTGTAAACAGATATTGGCTGAAATTTTTCCAACCCTAATCACATAGTTTTTGATTTTAAATAGGGACATTCAAACCATTCACATTCATTGTAGTTAATTAATATATTTGGACTTGCTCTGTGTTAGCCAGGCCCTCTGCTGGCAATGAGTGCTCTTCACCCTGATCTTTGGCTGGCTGTTTGTTAATTAGATCTCAGCTTAAATTTCACCTCTTCAGAGTGATTTTCCGTAATAGTCTAATGTCATGTACTCACCCCATCACTTTCTGTCCATCACTGTTTTAATTCTCTGCATGGCATTTATCACAGTCCCATTTTTCTTTTCTTTTCTTTCTTTTTTTTTTTTTGAGACAGAGTCTCACTCTGTTGCCCTTGGTAGAGTGCTGTGGCGTCATAGCTCACAGCAACCTCAAACTCTTAGGCTCAAGTGATCCTCTTGCCTCAGCCCCCCAAGTAGTTGGAACTACAGGCACCCACCATAACGCCTGGCTATTTTTAGACGCAAGGTCTTGCTCTGGCTCAGGCTGTTCTAGAACCTGTGAACTTAGGCAATCCATCTGCCTTGGCCTCCCAGGGTGCTAGGATTATAGGCATGAGCCATGGTGCCCAGCCCACAGTCCCATTTTTCTGAGAACACAGATTTTGTCTGTTTTGTTCAAAGCTGGTAGTACTTAGAGTAGTGTACACAGAACAGATAGAAGATGCTCAAAAATACTTGTTAAATGACTATTGAATACATCATCTTTCATTTTTTCACTTTATTCTGTGCTATATATTCATTACATATAGATATGATATTCATTAAATGTTTCTTATATGATGTTTACACTTTTTGCTAGGTTTTTTATCCTCCTTTCCTTTTTTGCTCCCAAACCACTATGCAATTTAGAAATTTACTCCCTCTCTCTTTCCTTCTCTTTTGTTATTAACATTATGTATTTAACAGTAATGTTAAATTATATTCTCTGTCAACACACCAAAAGCCATTTAGATTTGACTACACAATGTTATTTGGGTCATTGATTATATCTATCTCTGTCTTAAGATCTTATAAACAGGTATTGGCTGTCATCCCCAAGATATTACATATATGTTATGATTTAATTTGTAGCTAGTATAATTTCTTGAGTAATTTCCTCAGAAAAGATACATGAGTGGTGTATTAGTTTTACAAATGTAACACTGAGTTATTATCTTACAGTTCTGGTGTCCAGAACTCCAAAATGAGTCTCTCGGGGCTAACATCAAGGTCCCAGCAGGGCTGTGTTCTTTCTAGAGGCTCCCGGGGAAAAACTATTCCCTTGCCTTTCCTTGCTTTGAGAGGCTGCCTGCTTTTTTGGCTCATGCTCCTTCCTTTATCTTCAAAACCATCAGTGTAACATCTTCAAGTCTCCCTCTTTGTCTTTCTCTCCCTGCCTGTCTGTTCTTATAACACTGGGTAATTCATAATGATCTGCTCTTCTCAAGTTCCTTAATCACATCAGCAAAACATGGACACCTTTGGGGATCTATTATTCTTTTTTTTTTTTTTT